GGGAGGGTGTTGCAATGCCCCTTGCACCGCTGCCTCCCCCACCCACCCCGCGAGGGAGGGATGGGCGTGCAAAGCCGCTGCACGGGGTCCCTCCGTGGGGTGAAGGGCAGGGTACGCACCCAATGGCTTTAACAAGACTTCTACACGCGTGTTTTCTTCTTTTTGCGTTTTTAATAGCATCTGTATTCAGGAAAATGGCCTTTTTATTAGTATTAGTGACTTTTTCCCACCCACCCTCTCCATAATCCACCATCCCATAGCTGACCGACTCTGCAGGGGTGCAGCGAAGAGTTCTTGGTTATCAAGTGCTGGAGGGGAGCAAGCCCTGGGGCCAAGCCGGGCCTGGGCCGGCAGCTCTCGGATGGGATGGGGGGCTGTGGCTGGGGTCCCTTGGCTGCTCTGCGCCCTGTTCTCCGCCTGGGTGCAAATTGGATGGGGACCTTGCTTCACCCGGGACTTTTGCTCTTCTGGTGCCATAGGATGAGGCCAAAGTTGGTTGCTTATTCCCAGTTCCTTCTTCAAAGCATAGCTAAGGAAATCCTCTTTCTTTGGGATGTGCAATTCATGAATAACAAGCTTGTATTGGGTCTAGATCGACATAGCTAAGGAAATCCTCTTTCTTTGGGATGTGCAATTCATTAATAACAAGCTTGTATTGGGTTTAGATTAGCTTTGAAAACAGAGCCAGGAATCAGGAATAAGGAACAGGGAATAAGGGTGTAAGTTGTAGCCGTGTTGATTTAAGGACATTGATGGACAAGTTTCTTTGGGTAAATTTGATCTCTTATTAGACCAACTAAAGAGTTGGGGGAAAAAATGTTGACAATTTTTTCCTACTCTCTACTTGGTCTAATAAAAGAGATCAGATTTACCCAAAGAACCGGGAATAAGGAATGGGGAATAAGCAACCAACTTCAGCCTCATTGCAATGGCAGTTTGCTCTCATAGTTTCCTAGTTGTTAGGGCCTGGGAGGGCCCTTACAGATCATCAGGTCCAGCCCTCCTGCACTTGGGCAGGACAGACCGCTGAAAGAAAAACACTAGATAGTTCATTAAGTAACTATTTACTGCCCTTAATGCTTTGAATTGGATTTGGCATATTGTTACATGTATTGCTTCTATCTTGCCAATAACTCAGTCCATCCCAATTAGGCATTTCACAGAGCACAAAACTTCTTGACGTTACTTAAATAACCGTTATCTTTCTGCTGTTTTAAATTCAAATATAAAATCACCAGCAGAATAAATGAAGTACATCTACACAGTAATTTAGGCCCTCCACATTTTGGCACTGATCCTCCTTAAAATCTGTTATGGATCATTCTTCAAAGAGAAATTGCTCTGCGACCAGTGATAACATTGTGTGTTTGCTTTCCATGCAGACCCTCTGGCCAGAGCAAACCAGCCCCTGATCCATGTGTTTTCAGAGCTGTGCGGCTCAGCGGAGGTGCCCCAATCCCCGGGGTACCTGGAGGTGCTGCCAAGGGTGCCGCACGGTGTTAGCACTGTTAGGGTCACGGATATGTTTCACAGGAGAAAGGCAAAGGTTTCAAAGAGAAGCCCGTGGTTTCTGAGGTCTTTGCAACAGAAAAAACCTAATGTCTATGAAATCTATGAAAAAAAAGTGAAAAGTAAGAGCTGGCATTTTCCGAGGACGGGGCCCGGAGTCTATCCGGGGTGCCTTGAGTCTAAAAAGGTTGAGAACCACTGCTTTGGAGGAACAGAAAGGAGAGAGATCGGTGCCTCCTCATGCTCGGTGTTGTACGTGGGCATAGCCAGGGGATGGTGATTGTCCCACGGAAGGGGTTACAGATTAATAGCAATGCAGTTGCTGTGCATTAGAAGTAATATTTTGGGGTGTGGACAGATGAAATGCTTCCCCTCACACAATTGACAGTCAGCTGCTGTAAAAAAGGAGCAGACAGAAGTTGCAAACCCTGGCAACTTCACCCAGTCCCAATGGAGCATTCCCCCTGAAAAAATCGGGGATAGAGACTTACCCCTATAAGTTACACCAGTTCAGGTTTCATCTGTCCCCCTCCATCCTGGGGTAGCCTAGATCCAACCAGGCTGTTACCCTCTCCCCTACTGCCTCGTAGAGAAGCACAGTAAAGATGCCCGCTGCCCCAGGACAGCTGTGTGTGTCCATTCAGGAACCAGGTGTAATTTATATTAGTAGGCAAACCCAGTGTACGTTGCTGTGGGGTACGTGTGCATCTCCCCACCCGCTTTGAACAAAATTCTGACACTTTCTGTATCTGCCCAAATTAAAATCCTTTTCTGAGCCCCCTCTGACCTAAACACCATCTGGACCTGCGTGGTGCTGCTTATCCCAGAGCAAAGGCCTCATTATTAATTGGTATTGTTCCTCAAACTTGGGGCCCCATTGCATTCAGCATTGTATGTGCACGAGTAAAACGCCAGGCCCAGAGGACTTGTGCACTGAGTAGAAGATGCAAGGCTGGATTTAAAAGTAAGACGGAGGGAGCACAAGGGACAGGGAGATGTTATGCCCCATGTAATGGATGGTGGACACAGCGCAGCCTACCCAGTGCAGATCCATGTGTAGGTATTATGGGAGGTTAGGGGGAGGTCAGTGGGGTGGTTCTGCATTTTTCCAAGGTTTTTCTGCAACTAAGATGAAAGAATGATAGCATCATAGAGAAGTCGGGCTGGAGGGGACCTCCAGAGATCATCTAGTCCCACCTCCTGCCCAAGGCAGGAGCATCCCTATCCAATCTGTCCTGTACAAATACATTATCCAATCTATTCATAAAACGACATAGTCGACCTGGTCACAACCGCAAGGCATAACACCCCAACTTGCGACAGGTAAAGCAGGGAAACCAGGGGGGCCAATTCCCGCAGCTACCGGGGTTAAGACATGCTGGAGAAAGCCGAGGAAGAGGGCCACGCGCCCCACTGCAGTGGAAGGCAAATACCTTGCAGTCCATACCAATCTGATCATGAGGTTAAATTCCTTCCTTACCCCATTGGGGCGATGGCTCTGACTCTGAACAGAGCGGCAAGACCCTCTAGTGGGGAAGTCCTGGGTTTAAGTCCCAGCAGGAGCACCAACACAGCCTTCACAAATCCACAGCCTTAGCTGCAACCATCACCCATTGCTTCTGAAGCATGCAGAGATTAGTGAGCAAGTGTGACTAACTAGCTGGGACATTAGGAGGGCAACCTTCAAATGAGGACTTCCCCGCTTCTTCATTGCTAGGTGTGGTAGGGGAAGAGAGGTAGGGCATGGATCAGCCCTGCTAGGCCCTACTTAAATACCGTTCCCCTTGTCATCTGCTCTGTGCCGCCATGAGAGACAGGCCTCTGTCATCCCTAGATGTGCCAGGAAACTACAAGCCTCTCTCGGGAGTTCGTGGGAGGCTCCTAACTGTACAACAATGCAATCCTTGGGGCAAAAAATGATAAAATCAGGAAAAGGAGTGCAGATAAAAGGTTAATAGCTAGGGTGCCAAAGAGGGGTACCAGCAAGCACCCACTGCCCCTTGAATGTGTATATAAGGAGGTTGTGGGCACTGCCCAGTGAAACTCTGCTGACAAAAGTGTGCAGAGGAGTGAAAGGAAGGCAGCCCCTCAGTGTCCTGGGTTCCCAGTGCCTCCATCCTAGTCTGGTAGATGAGCAGCTTGGCCAGGCCCTGGAAGAGATGGTCCATACAGGACGCTAGGCTGGATAGATGGATTATGGCCTCCTTATGTCCTCCTTACACCCCAAGAAGAGCAAAGGTGGAGGAGGAGTGTGGCTGCCTGCCCTCCTATCAGGTTTTTTTTTTCTTTTCTCTTCCAGAGATCTGCACCGTTGTCCATTTTCTTCTCTCCAGCCAGTACCTCTGGTGTGGGCTAACCATTGCCTTGTCTCTGCCTGGCTATCTCGTCCAGCTCCTCAGCTTTGTCTGGTTCCAGGCAGACGGGCACAGATGTTGCTGCGCTCTGGTGATGCTGCATGCCCTGCAGCTGGGGATTTGGAAACGGTAAGAAACAGACTCGTCCACATTTGAAGAATTAAGGGGTTTCTGATCTAACCGCCTGGGGACAGGTCTGTATCGTTTGCATGGAGTGCGTGTGTGTATCCATGCATATGTCTATGTAACTATAGGTGGTGGTGACAACTTTGTGGGTTGTGTGGGTGTCTCTGTAGTCTGAAAAGTGAGATTTGCTATGATTTCCTGAGAACCATGTGCCACCACAGCTTGCCAGAATGGTGCTAGCCTGGCCCTTAGTTCTTGGGGGATACGGGGCCTTAAGACAAGTGGATGCAAGAGCAGACTGGTCCTGGCATTGCACTGATGTGCACAAACACATCCCATTCATCATTATTCAGCTCAACTGACTTTTATAGCTCTTAGAAGAGCAGCGGCATGTCAAGTGGTGCAGCATCCTGGGGATTGTTTCACCATTCCTACTGCTGGAAGGAAGGTTTCTTTGCTCTCTTTTTAAAGAAAAGTCCCTGAAACTTTTCATCTTTCCCCAGTGCGATCTGGCCTAGGGAACATGTTTGGTTAATACCGACAAACCTTTACACTTCATCCCTAACTGCTGATTAATTCTCCAGCGACCCTCTGAATTCAGCGATTGTTTTGTGCCTTGAGCATAATTGTGCTATTGTAAGTAGATATCTCAGAGGATGCATCACACTTTTCTTAACACAGAAGATTGAAATAAAGAAGTTGTCTTGGTTATTGAACTTCTTCTCTTCAGCCTTGAGTGTGTGCAGCCACATTTAATAATGCTGGCAGATTACTGGGCATTATAGGAGCCCCTGGAGAGTGTCTTTCTTAGGCCAGGATAGTCTGTGATGATCGCTTAGTCCCATTTCCTGCCTAGCACACAGGGCAAGGAATGCTCCCTGCTGATTTCTGCATGCAGCTCAGCTGTTGATAAGGTTACCTGTCAAGTGCTTGGCTGGAGTGAAAGTCCAGCCTATACAGCTGTTTTCCAGCTTGGCTGGAGTGAAAGTCCAGCTGTACAGCTGTTTTTCTGCTTGGCTGGGGCGGAAGTCCAGCCTGTACAGCTGTTTTCCAGCCAAGCCACCCAATGCATTAAAATAGCAAACTGCTGGGCGAGAAGCATGAGCCAAAAGCTGTAAGTGGATTTAATGGTCCTGAAACTCAGCCTTTGATGACCAAAGCCTCACTTGCAATTATCATTATTATAATTTGTATTACCACAGTACTTAGGGACACCATAGCATGAAATGCTGTACAAATGCAGAATAAATTATGGTCCCTGCCCCAGAGAGTTTGCAGCTGGAGTGTTGCAGCTAACACAACCTTGTGTCCCTCAGTTGGAGCACACAAAGTTGTGAGTTTGTTGCCAGAGCAGGCTGTAGTTGCTGTGAGAGATCCTGATCTGAGGTGGGAATGGCCAGATTGCTGGCAGGCAGGGGATAACACAGGGATACTATCATTGAGACCCTCCTTACCCAAACCTGATACTTCATATAGTCTCCTTTCTTCTCATTCATAGCATGGTCCAGTCACAAAGGGCATCCATGGGATTAATGAGTCAGATACTCATCACGCTTGTGCCTCCATTGCAGAGAAGCACATTTCAATCTTATCTTCTTCTGCACTGAGCTCAAAGCCTGTGGGTCTGCTTACTGGGTCCTATTGGGCAATTCCTGATCCTCCCAGGTAATCAGCCCCCTTGTTTATTGCCTCCAAGCAAGTCTCTTTTATTCCTTCTCAGGGTCTGGTACCAAGCCCTTTGATTACATCAAGTGAACCATTACCGTGGCTTTTGCAAGGCTGTCAGGCCCTGCCAAGTTGAGCAAGTTCAGCTGTTTTTGTAAGTCTTTTGGGGAGTTTTAACAGTTAACACTTTCCAATCACAAGAGCCTCCAGCTGGGCTCATGTAAAATTTAAGAGCAGAAGTCGCAGCTGGGTACAAACAGATGGAGGAGGACAAGGAGACAAAGAGATGCCCAGTGAGGTAGTTGCCATGGACCAGGAGCAGTCTAATCCTTCTCAAGATGTTGTCAGGCTAAAGGAGAATTTTAAGAAGGGGTTTGAAGAAAAATAGTAAGGCAGCTTTGTGGAAGAGAGTCGCTCTGTCTAAGCAAGTGAGAGAGACAGCTTGGGGGCAAGCGTGAAGGCCTTTGAATTGAAATCCAATCAATGCATGACGAAGGCTGATCTAAGGTGGGAGCTGATCCTCCCGTGCTGAATGAGGGATGACAAGAAGAGGGACTATGGACTGTGAAAGGGAAGGCAAACACCTTCTGTTGGGCTAGTGGTTGCACATAGAGGGAGAGCTAGGAAAATGCTCTTTGCAGCTGCTTTCTGAATGAGCATATGCAGGGCAAGGATGCATTGGTCCCAGCCAGGGGAAAGGGTGCTGCAGTTATTAAGAAGTGAGATGGGATGCAAGCCAGCTGTGTGCTTGGACAGGGAAGGCCCCATCTAAGAAGCTGTAGAGAAAGAGTTTGCAAGTCCTGGGCACAACCCAGATATGAGGATCGAGAGAGGAGTCCAGGTAGAGCAGGAGTGGGCAAGTATTTGGCCTGCAGGGCCACTTAAAAAGTTTCCATGAGCTTCTGTAGGGGCCCCGATCTGCTCCCCACGCACCTTTGCAACGGGCGCCGGTTCCATGGACTGAGGCATGCAGGGAGCAGATCTGCCCCAGGGCCTGGCCCTGCATTGTCACCACCCCACGATCCTGGACCCCGCCTGCCTGTCCCACTCCTGGACACTCCTCCCCACCTGTGGCACCATCCCATCCACCCAGCCTAGTGTGCCTGCCTGCAGGGGTCCCAGGCTGGTCTCCATGGAAGCCCCACCTGCCTGCCTTCTCCATCCAGTGCCCCAAAGTGAGTTGGAGCCAGGCAGAGAGTCCAGCTGCCATGCCACCCCTGCTCTGCCATGCACCCGATAGCAGTGGGACAAGCTGCGCATGCCGCAGACCAGGCTGCCCACCAGGCCTGGACCAGGGATGGGGCTTAGGGACCTGCTGCGGGCTGGATAAAATCCCTTGGCAAGCCAGATCCAGCCCATAGGCCGTATTTTGCCCACCCCTAATGTAGAGGATGATGCCCAGGTTCTGGGCCTGAAGGACCGGCAGGATCGTGGTGGTGTCCGTGTTGATTTGAGAAGGAAGATCATAGAAAATGAGGGCTGGAAGGGATCTCAAGAGCTCACATCTAAGGGAAACTGGTCTGGGGAAACTGGTGAGGATAAGATGGCAAGACAAGGTCCCAGACACTGAGGTTCTTACTCGGGCGGGCATTGCAAGCATCTGCACTGCTGATGAAACCACAGATGAGATGGACAGGCCCTGTCACCAGGATGTAAGATGAGTGACTGCCAAAGATCTTTTCCGGTGAACTAAAGGAGGGAAAGTGCTCTCAGGGAACTCAGAGGAAACACTTCAAGGACGCCCTCAAGTCATCCTAGAAACATTTCAACATTGACCCCAAGTCCTGGGAAGATCTCGCGCACGATCGTTCTACCTGGCGAAGCCTCGTCTGTACTGGAGCTACCGTTTATGAGCGGAGAACTGCCGAGGCAGAGCAGGAGTGCCAACCGTGCAAATCTCACAACAGCAGCACGTCCTCTGTTGATCAAGCAACCCAAGGTGGCATCTCTTGCTCAGTGTGCTGTAGACAGTTCAAAGCACAAATTAGCCTGATCAGCCATTCACGCGTTCACGGAAACCAAACCAACCAGTGATGTCATGGTCATCTTCGAATTCGAAGGGCAAACAGCAAGAAGAGGTAACCCGTTCCAGTGCTTCAGCACCCTCCTAGTGAGAATTTTTTTCCTAATATCCAACCTAAACCTCCTTTGCTGCAACTTGAGACCATCGCTGCTTGTTCTGTTATCTGCCCTCACTGAGGGCAGCTGCATCCCCTTTTCAGCCATCCTTCAGGGAGTTGAAGGCTGCTATCAAATCCCCCCTCAGTCTTTTCTGCAGACTAAATAAGCCCAGTTCCCTGGGCCTCTCCTCAGAAGTCCTGTCCCCCGGCCCCATCACCATTTTCATTACCCTCCACTGGACTCTCTTCAATTTGTCCACATCATTTCTGTAGTGGGGGCCCAAAACTGAACACAGTACTCCAGATGTGGCCTCACTAGGGCTGAATAGAGGGAAGTTACTACTTCTATTACTATCTGCTATTACTATCTATTACTATCTACTATCAGCACACCAATTCACCCCCAGGATGCCGTTAGCCTTCTTGACAACAAGTGCACACTGTTGACTTATATCCAGTTTATTGTCCACTGTCACCCCAGGTCCTTTTCTGCAGAGCTGCTGCCCAGCCAGTCAGCACCAGCCTGTACTGGTGCATGGGATTGCTGTGTCCTAGGTGCAGGACTTTCTACGTGCCCTTGTTAAACCTCAGGAGATTTCTTAAGGTTCAACAAGGTCCTTGAGGTTTCTTGGTCCAATTCTCCAATTTGTCTAGGTGTCTCTGAATACTCAACCTACCCTCTAGCATATCTACTACTCCCCCTGGCTTGGTGTTATCTGCCAACTTGCTGAGGATGCAATCCATCCTATCTTCCAGCTCTTTAATGAAGATATTGGGGGAAAAAAAAAAAGGCCCTGGGACTGACCACCGGGGCACTCCATTTGTACTGGCTGCCAACTAGACATCAAGCCACTGATCGCTACCTGTTGAGCCTGATGATCCAGGGCTCTGTCCACCTTACAGCCCATTCATCCAGCCCATACTTCCTCAGCTTGCTTGCAAGAATGTTGTGGGAGACTGTATCAAAAGCCTTGCTAAAGTCAAGGTACATCGTGTCCGCTGCTTTCCCTGCATCCTCAGAGCCACCTATCTCATCACAGAAGGCAACTGGGTTGGTCTTGGTGAATCCATGCTGACTGTTTCTAATGACCCTTTTCTCCTCCAAGTGCTTAGAAATGTATTCCTTAAGGACCTGCTTGAGGAGATGGCTGAGAGTTTGGGTTTCAGAGAGACAGACCGAGGTCTGCTTTTGGCCCGAAGGAGCCAAACCTGCGATCCAGAATCAGGATACAATTCTGTGTAATGGATGACAAAGCCATTCCATTTTGCAAGCCGTATAGTCTGGGACTCTGGTTAAAGCTTGTAAACGGTGCTGTTTGGGTGGGAGTTAACACTTAAGATGGATCCATTGGGTTAAGCAGTGGGACAGGCTGCCTGTCATTTGGCACCTGGGACACAGTGGGTACCCAAAGTGGCATCAGTTTAAATGCTGCCCTTCCTTCAAACTTGTGCAATTACTGTGAAGAGTCAGGGCCTGTTGGGGTGTGTGGCTGTCCCTCCCTATTGAGGGAGGAGGACGGGCCTTTGGATTGGGGGGAACCTTTTCTTATATGTGCTCTGCCCAGCCCAAGGAGCCAGCAGATGAAATGAGTTAGAGGCTAAAGGGCTTTTATTTGGGCTTGAGGAAGGCAATAACAGGCTCATCCGTAATCTCTTTGTGCTCATTAAATCCAGCATGGGGATGTTGGAAGTGTGTTTGGACTTGCCTGAATTACAAAAATGCACAACCTCCAACAGACAGACAGCCTGCCAGGTGACAAGATTGACTGGGGGCCCGGAGTTTAGGGCAATAGCTACCTTTTAAGCAAATGCTTGCTGGAGCAGATTAAAATGCAGGAAACTGTTTGCATCCCCGTGTGTCCACATTTGACTAGTCTGTTAGCGCTGACGCACGCGTTTAACCTGATAAAGTAGGTGGGGAGAGCCCCTCTGGAAGAAGAGGAAGGGCCGAGGACGGTAGGAGTGTGTAATTCGAGGGCGGGTGTATTCAAAACTTCATCCAAAACTTCTTCCAAAAACTCCTTGTGCAGCACCACCAATGTGCTTTTTTACAGAGGAGCAGTAAAGATCAGGGCTGTCCCTTTCCACTGCCTTGCACCATGCCTGCTCCTTTACTCTGGCTGGAAGGTGCCACCAGCTCAGGATGGCATTGATTCATGCCCCCCGCAACGCTGGGCTCCGTTCACAGAAGCATCAGCAACTGTCCAAGTTCCCAAGGCCTGTGTTTCTCCAAGGGTGTGATCCAAAGCCAGCCTGCAAAGCTGATATAAAGTGCAATCCGAATCGGGTGTTGTCAGACCTTGACGGTGCTTCTGTCCTCATCCAGGTACTGGGACATCCTGTGGACAGCCGGCAAGGCAGGGAGGAGCTCCGCGACCAGAGATCACCTCTTGCAGCAGGGGGACGCAGCGGTGCTGCGGATCCTGGAGGCTTTGGTGCAGAGCCTGCCGCACCTGGTGCTGCAGACGTATGTCTGTGCCGCTGTGGACCCAGCAGGCCTCGTCCCAGGTCTGTCTGCAAAGGCTGCATGGCCCGTCCCTCACAAAGGCGTCCTGTGGTTCTTCCATTTTCCTATTGCGGCCCCTCACAATGGACATAGTCCTGCCAGCAGACACCCCCCAAAGACTGCCTGGCTATCGTCCTCTCCTCAGTAAGGCCCAGCTCTTGTCTGAGCAGGTAGCATGGTACCTGGGAAGGGATCTGGGGCCCCAGTGGTGTCAGTGCAGCGAGCCTCCAGCCTCCTGGAGCTGGCTTGCTGAGGGAATCCCTGGGTGTGCTGGGGACCTTCCTGGCTTAGGGACTGACCATGGAGTCCAATTTCTAGAGCTGTGGCCATTCATTATAGTCCCTGATGGGCAAGTTGGCCCTTCCTGCAGCAAATAGGGTGCTGCCTTCCACAGTTTGGGAGCTGCCATCCAAAGTACAGGGAGGGGGTAAGGAGCGTTTCATTTCTTTACCCGACCACCTAAAAATTTAGGTGTGTGGTGACAGTCCACCTAAAAGCCACGCAAGCCAAAAAGAGCCCAGTGGAGAGTGCATTGTAGCTGAGGCTGCTGGCTTTTCCAAGGGATTGAACAAGCATGAGGAATTGATGGCTGCGATGCTCAGGAGTATTTCAGAACATGTCGCTAAATCCATGTGCTACATCAGAGGCCAAAACACCCCAATCTCGCCCCACACCTCAACTTGGTGTGCCAGAGGCAGACGGTGGGGGAGACACGAGGGGCCCAATCCTCGTTGCTGGTAGCGGGTGCGCACACGCCTCTGAGTGGACAGTAGGGAAGGGGCCAGGGTTGTCCTGCCACGGCCCTTTCCCCACTGTGTGCCCTATGGCATGCATGCAGCTGCCACTGCCATGGAGCCCAGCCGGGGCTCTGGAGCCCAGTGCAGCTGTTTGCAGCTTCCCAGCTGCCTCTGGGCAGCAGCAGGAGGCTGCAGACAGCTGCATCGGGGTCTGGAGCCCTGGTACCGGCTCTGCGACAGCGGTGGTTGCACATGCACCTCGGGGCTCATGGCTGGCAAGGGACTGGGGTTGCACTGCCCCTGGCCCCTTCCTGGCCATGCAACTTGAGGCGCATGTGCAGCTATCACTAGCACAGAGTTCAGCCAGGGTTTTGGATGCCGGTGCAGCTGTTTGCGGCCTCCCAGCTGCCTGCCACGTCCAGCCTAGGCTCTGGGCAGCTGCTGCTTGCAGCGGAGCTTGTAGCCTCCCCACTGCTGCGATCAACCTGGGCTCTGTGGCTGGTGGCAGCTGCCCAGAGCCTGGGCTGGCTGTGACGTGCAGAGCAAAATGGCCTTGTGTGCCATGCTCTGATACGCGTGCTGACCCCTGTTCTGCATGTTCGCTACAGCTTCTGAATCAGAACTTCCTAGACCTTAAATGCTGGAGGCTGCAATAGGAGAGGAACAGGGGAAAAGACCCTGGTCATACCCTGTTCACTCTCCCTTTCAGCTTCGCTTTCTGCCAGTGTGTGACATAGGAGACTGGGCAAGATGGACCTACGGTCTGACCCCAGTAAATATCAGTTCTTATGTCAAGTCTGTTGGGAAGAATGCTTTTGATCTTGGTGTTTGGACACCTAATAAGATGGAGAAAGCTGGAAGGAGAGAAAATGGGGCAGAGTTTATAGTAGCGAACAGCCACAGTTCAGCAGAGGAGTGTTTGGTGGAATAGCTCAGCTGGAGGGCGAGCTGTGGGCACTAGGGGCTGCATATCACAGGAGTATTGGACCCATCATGGGGCTCTTTTCTCAGCACCTCCCTTGCTTTCCTTTGTAGGCATCAGTGCTGGACTGTCCCTGCTCTCCCTCTCCTGGGCACTGGTCTCTTATAGTCGCTTTGCATGCCTGATGAAACCAGGACATCTCTACATGCCAGCGGCTGCCCTCCTGTGCCAGCTTTTGTGGAGGATGGGGATGCTGGGGACCCGGGTCATGGCTCTGGCTTTGTTTGCAAGAGTCTATCCTATCTGGGTTTTTGCCGTTGCAGGTAAGATGAGATTTCCTGTCGGGACTTGTGCAGGTAATATTCTCCTGTGTCTGCCAGGAGGGCTGAATTCTCCTGTCACCCACCTACGCAGGGTTGTGTCAACCTAGGACTGGAAGGGATTGCAGAGGATACTGAAAGGAGGATCGTGCCCTGTACTATACAGGAAGGCAAAAACCCTGACCGACTTAGGGGGGGAAAATTCCTTCCTGCCCCCAAATTTGGGATCAATATGACCCTGAGCAGAAGAGCAAGACCCTCCAGCCACTGAGTTTTCTAAGTGCTAGCAGAAGCATCAGTGCACCCCAGTTAAACCTTGCAGCTTAAGCCGTGCCCAGTGCCCCAATATGTCAGAGGAAAATCAAGCTTTCCATAGCCCAGTAGTTTTCCGGAGGCAGGTCAGTGAACTTGAGGTTCATCTCTTCTTTCTGGTAAATGCACAGCTTTTGAAAGGTGTTGGATGACCCACCCTTACTTCTGCAGTGTGGCCTGGGCCTGATTTTCCTTATGCTGGCTCATAGGAAATGGCAAATGGAAGAGAGTCTGTTCATTTGTGCATTGACTCGGGTTACTTGGCAGCCTGTGCCATCTACAGGAGCATCTACCAGCTGGTCCCCTCCCCGGTGCTAATTTGACTTCTGTCCTTTGCTCTCCTCTCCCAGGTGCTCACTGGCTAGTGATGTCTTTCTGGCTGGTGGCTCAGCAGACGGACATCATCACAAGTCCCAGTCGCTGGAGACTCTTTAACTGCCTGGTAGGAGCCACGTATATCTTCTGCTACATTAACTTCCGGGACGGCCCCTCCAGGTACAGGGTGGCTGTGTTTTATGTGGTAAGTGCTCTGACTCCCAGCTCTCATGCTACTAGCAAAGGAGCAACAGAAACCATAAAGGACTAATAAAACTGTAAGACCCATGACGACTTCTGGGTGCCCTGTAACATGCCTATATAGTCAGGGTTTAATAAACTATATAGGAAAGGTCTAGCAGACCTGTTCAAAGGGCTTCAATCTGTGACCTTTGCATAGTGCTTCAGAATAAATGTTCTCTCCTCTCTTACTCCTAATAGTGAGGTTTCCTAGGGCAGATGTTCTTTGCTGCGCTTTGCAACCATCAGCTTTTGCCCTGAGGGGTGAGATTTGATTGTCCTTATTTTTAGCCTGTGAAGCTACATTTTATGATGGCAGCTTCATCTCCCTTGCTGCCGGAGCAGATTACACCTGCCACAGCATCTAGCCAAGGAGCAGAAGCACCAGAGTAATTATACTGGCAGAAAGGAGGGCTCTACGGCTGTCGAGGTGCTTTGCATGTAGATGCACTCTGTTTCCCTGGCAGAACTGCAAGTTTGCTGGTGACATTTTATAGGACAGACCAGGCCTCCATCTTCTGAGAACTTCCTAAACCCTCTCTCTGTCGCGTGGCTAGAAACCTCCACTTCTCATCTCCGTCCAGACAAGAGGAGGAAGTATCTTCTCCCAGCTCAAACCAAGTGTCACAAGGTGCCTTACCCTAGGAGAGGACCATGAAGTTATAATGACCCTCTATTGTCAGTAGTCATCAGCAGAACTTTGTCTAGTTTTGGGCACTGCACTTCAAGAAAGACGAAACTGTAAAGAGTTCAGCAGAGAGAAGCAAGAAAGATTAAAAGTCTGGGAAACATGACCGACAAGGAAAGGTTGGAAGAATGGGATTATTCAGTCTGGAGAACAGAAGGCTGAGGGAGGGTTTGATAAGTCTTCATATTCCTGAAGGGATGGTAATAAAGCAGTTGGTAATAGGTTATTCTCTGTGGCTGCAGGGGACAGGACAAGCAATGGCTTTAACCCAAAGCAAGGGCAATTTAGGTTGAATATTAGAAAGAACTTTCTCTAGGGAGGTGGTTAAACATTGGAACAGGCTACCAGAGAGGTGGTGGAATGGAGACTGGACATTTCCAAATCCTTGGACATTTTTAAGGGCAGCTTTGACAAAGAATTGACTTGGTTGGTTTCCCCAAGGATGATCCTGCCTTGAGCTGACCTGCTGCAGTCCCTTCCAGCCCTGCTCTTCTAGTTTGGCAGATGGGATGCATCACTGGAAGCTTCACAGTAAGTGAATGCACATGCACAGAGGCATCCATAAAGACAATCACCTAATAACTTATGTGGACAGAGGCATCCATAAAGACAATCACCTAATAACTTACTGTCATCAAACAAAAATAGCTAACGGTACTGGCGGACTCCTCAGATCATCACGGCGCTCTTGCAGAAATCTTCCTTTTTAGGAACTACGAAGAGGAAGTGAATTTGCTGCTGATGCAAAGGGCTGCCTGGCAGCTCCGGGGAGCTCATTCCAAATCCAGTAACAGCTATTTCCTTTTTGAGACGTGCATGAAATGGCTGGCACCGTCGTCTCTGCTGCTGGTCCCAGCTCTGCGCTTTTGCCCGTGCACTGGTGGACCAGGGATGCCACACGAGCTGTCACTTGTTTTTATGAGCCACGTTTTGGTTCCATTCAGAACGCGTGTGGGGAGAAGATGAAAGCGGGTAGAGGGGGTTCAAACCACCCAGGCAAAGTCCAGACCTTCTCTGCGTGTGCTGTGTAACCTGTGCCATGTTGGAAGGGTGTCTGCACCCCGCAAACGGGGTGCAGTTCTGTCGTGATGGCTCTCTTTACTCTCCCCGACAGATCATGCTGGTTGAAAACATCCTCCTCTTGTTGGTGGCTGCAGACCTGCAAGGCGCACTGTGGAGTAGCCTGTGCCAGGCTGGGGTTGTCCTGTCGGGATTCGTTATCGGTAAGATCTTTTGCTTTCTCAAGCTCTGAATCCTTGCCTCTCTGGGCGGGTGGGTAGGTGGCAGCGAGACTGGTTGAAAAACCCAGGAGTAGAAACACTATTGCTGACCCTCGGCATCCTCTCCCAGGAGCGGGTGTCTAGTGTGGTTTGTTTCCTTAAAGCTCTAGATCCTGGGTTCATCTGATGACCTGAACTCAGTGCCTGCTTTCTTCCTCTTAACTTATTTTCTGAGCCCTTGTGTCTGCACAGAGAGATTGGAAAAGGGAAACCCGAGTATGACCTAACAGCTCCAAGCAAGAGACAAAGACGCTTGTTTTAAAATCTCATCCTTTATTTTAATTTGGGGGCCTGACCCTTGACTTCTGAGGTTGGCAGTGCTCTAACATGGGCACAGTTCCTCGTAGGACGTCTTCTGGTTTGGCACCTGCCAAAGAATTGAGGAGGGCTCTAAAAGACAAGTCCCTTCCTTTGGGGCAAAAGCATGTGGAGAGAGAACGATGTGGAAATGTGCTGGTTTTTCCCCTACTGCAAGGCAGGTTTGGTTGTTGTCCTGCAACCCTGGCTTCAGGTAATGCCTTGGAAATCTGACTGTGGTGCTGCTTTATGGCAAATGTTGGGCACAGCCTGTCTGAAAAAACATCAGCCTTGACTCTGTGGTACTGCTGCCTGCTCCTTGCAGGCTCCTGGTCTAAGATGAGGTTATCTGACTGTAGCCCAGAAGCCAAGCCTCCTTGTTCCTGGCCCTCCGTGTGAGGGTGGAGGGAGAATGGGGAAGCCGCTTTCTCCACCCTTGGAAGACCCACTGTGGGCAAACTTTAGGACTCTTGGATAGAGGCAGGACAGGGCAGAGCTAAGCAGCGTGATTGCAATTCTGTCTCCTGGCTCTGATTGCAAAGAGATGAGCAGCTAACACTACCAATGCCTCTCCCTTCATACCCACCCCGGGAGGTCCCAGCTGCTGCAGACAAAGTGGGGCAGAGAAGCCACGCCTCATGATTGTCCTTGTGCCCGTGGGGTTGCCCTTTCCTCTCCATGCTGCCCTTTGCAGAGTTGCCAGCTGTCATTTTTCCTACCCTTCAGGTTGGCACACCATTTCCATGGCAGGGGGACACTACAGTTAGCTGCTCATGTCCTGAAACCCCTGTCTGTCCTGCTGACGGGTATGGCCTCATTGTTTTCTTGATCTCTGCCAGGTCTCTGCATCCAGGTCTTGTCTTGTACTCAATCTTCAAGTTTTCCTGGGGTGAGGCCATCATTTTGTCCCACGTCTAGTGTCTGGCATGGGGTTGTCTGGTCCCTGAGTAAGGTGTTGCATTCGGTCTGATACTACTGCTGACTGACCAGCTGGGTTGAAGCCCCGAGATGGATTTTGTCCACAGGTTGTCTGCAACCATATTGTATCTAGACACCGGCATGTAAGGAAGGCAACCACATCAGGTCCCTTCCATTAACTACATTCAGACGCTTAATTTGCAAAGCAAACACTGTCCCAGCACTTTGTGCAGTTGTGTTCATCAGCACTGGCACTTCTGCTTGGATGCCATGCATTGTACATGGTTCTCCCTCTCTCGCGCTGTGTGCTATGCAGAGATGTCAGTAAGCCTGTCACCCTGCACCTCTGCTCTTTTTCAGGCTGTGCGGCACTGGTCATTTACTACGGCCTGCTCCACCCCAAGTCCACGGAGATCTGGCAGAAAGCCCTGAAGACATCCTGCAGCATCATGGCTGCTTGGGGGAATGGGCCAGAAGGATCCTCTTTGCCATCCAGAAACCAAGCGGGAGGGCGCTTTGGATTTCCAGGCCTGGAAGATGTGGACTCCTCAACAGTGGTACCTGCCTGGTCTGTACCCGGCGTGCAGGGCGACTCCTCACTGGGAGAGCCCAGAGGCCAGACTGCCCTGGAGAACAACTGGGCCAACCACCACCACTGGCTGCTGGTAAAGCTGGCTTTGAAGACCGGAGACGTGTCCAAGATCAATGCTGCTTTCGGAGACGGGGGCATTGGGGAGGTTTATCCTGTAGGCGGGGTGGTGAGTCAGTACCCCAACGCCAAGGCTGGGAGATGGCCTGTTACTCCTAAACCCCGAGCGGGGGAAGACAAGCAGCCAGTAGCTGAGAATGGAGCTGGGGAAGGCCTGAGCAGGAGAGAGGAGACTTCTTACATGACTTTGGCCAGCAGAAAGCCTGGTACTTTGATCTCTGTAAGAACAGCGCAAGAGGCAGCACCATCCGGCCTCGTGGCGTCCAGGGGGAAACATGATGTTCAAAGCAGCCAAGAGAGAGACAGCTCCGACCCACGCCTTGGAGAGAGCAGTGCCAGAGGGGACCCAGACTTGCTGCCCCCCAGCCACCTCCCAGCAGGCGCAGCCCAGGCACATGACGGCTCCACCGTGTACTTCAGTGCCGATACAGGCAGCATCGCGCCCGCTAGCATGGGAAGACATGCGTGCAGCGACTCTGCCAAGGGCCTCACAGAGCTGGACGGGGGTGGCAAGCCTGTACTGCCTAACCTGGCAGGTGAAAGAGAGGACTTCCCAGTCCTCGTGGCTAACATCAGCCCCATACTGGCCACGGGCCCACATAGCCATCTGCAGAGCCCTTCCTCCCTGTGCTTTGCCAGTCCCTGCAGCACCTCCCGTCCCCCCAAGGAAACTTCGGAGCATGAAGGAGCCCTGGGGGCACCGTGTCCCCACTGGGACACCCTGTCTGTTGGGATATGGGTGGCGATGGCAAAAAGGAAGCTGAGGCCAGCTGAGGAGCCGTGCTTCACATCCACCCCCAAGTCTCACCCCGCAGGCCAGGACTGCAGGCGGAGGGAGACGATGGAGGGGATGAAGCTCGCTGCAGCATTGGAGTGAGGCTGTGCAATGCCCACCTGGTGCCGTCTCTTTGGTGTCCAGCTGAGTGTTAATGACCTACCCTTATACCACCCGCAGGCACGCACGGTTCTTGTCTCTGGGCGCTGTCCCTTCCTCCTGCGGTGGGCCTGTCATTAGATTTCCCCTCCTTCCTTCCTGCCATGCCAGATAACTCTTTGCTGCTGGGCTATCTCCTGACACTCAGGCTCCAGCGTTGGTATGCATTTCTCTCCACTACGTTGCCCGGGCTCTTCGACAGACAGGCATTGAGCATCACAGCAAAATTAGACTGGCAGAGCCTCCTATCAGCCACGCTCCACAACTCTGGCCTCATGGAGATGGCCCGCCAGTCGTGATAGTATTTAGTTGTACCTTGGGGATGCCAGCAGTAAGATGGGAGGTCACTTAGCAGGACTGACGTGTTATGCAAGGGACTCCTCTGCAGGAGGCAATGAAGGAGGTGACCCAGCAATGGGATGCAGGCCCTTCCATGGCACAACATAAAGGCACAAGAGGATGAATTGTCCTCCCGACTTTCAGCCGTCTGTTGGAGCTGGCTCCAAGTAGATAGTTGTTGGCTGTTGCTGGGCGGAGGGCTGGACTCGATGATCTTCCGAGGTCCCTTCCAGCCCGAATGTCTATGAAATCTATGAAATCTAGGTCTCCTGCTTTCAGGGACAGTCATCAGAAAGAACCAGATGGGCTGTAGAGAGACAGTATAAACCAGTGGATGGAGCAGGAGGCAGGACAGCTGGGTTCCTGTCCCTGCTCCACCCACCACCAGCCTACCAGGTCAAGTTGGGCAAGTCACCTCGCCACTTTTGTGCCTCCATAGCCCCATTTTACAGATGGGGAAGCTGGCCCTCACTGCCTTTTCCTCAAGTGCCTTTAGCTCAGTTGATTCACAAGGCTGTAAGAGAGCTAGTTGTTCATAGATCTTGAGGGTTGGAAGGGACCTTGTGGTGATAAACTGCAGGGGCAGGAAATCCTGCGGTAACCGAGCTAGACCACGGGCTGCTAGTTCTCACCCTGCAGCATTGTCCCACAGATGACTCGTGCACAGCAAGACCTGTATTTTTCAAGAATGACTAATAGGTTTTGGTGTCACGTTGAACCTTGGTGCCCAAAGCAGTCTCCTCAAGGTTGGTGCTCTAAAGATGTAGGCCCCTTGAAGGCATCTCAGGTTGAGAACGCTGAGGCCCCCAAAATTCACTAGATGCTGCAGAAGAGTTAAGCCCAGTGCTTTTAAGTTAGAGCAGATGTTTGTAATGAGGGAACTGCCTCCAGATGGAGGGTGTGGGATGGAGCGCTGTTGCCAATGGGACTGCTAATGCCAAAGGGAGACCGCCTGGCTTTGGCAACCAGGACAGGCTGTGCTCAGCAGTAGTACTGACACTCTTCTTTGCTGTGTCCTAGCTCTGCTGCCTGCCACCCGGAGAAGTGCAGCCTTTTTTTTTTTCCTATAAAGCCTAGTGTTGCCTATTTATTAACTTATTTAGACATTAACCTTATTAAGCGACTAAAGCAGGTTGCCTTTTGTGTATCCCTTACAAGAGCGTGGAAGGTGTCACTCAGCAGCAATCCTTCCAGATGGGTCTGGTACCAGCTGCTTACTGGTTCCCGGTCCAGAGATGCTCCTGTTGCCTGTTTCTGCTTGCTGTTTAAGTGGGTAGCTATGCTGCTTCCAGGGCACTCATGGGAGTGTCATTTGCAAACCACCCACCGTCCTCAAATGAACCCCCTGAGGGTTGTCTTTCCTCTAGCAGAAGCCCTCTGCTTTGCACCTGCGTTATCCCATCCAATAAAACAACCGCCAGACAGGTGGGGCTGGCTGCAGAGTGGGGTAAGGAGGACAGGCATGAAGTTGAGGCGTGGACAAGCAATCCTGGCTGCCTTTGCTCTCTGTTAATTTAACTCATTTTAATCTGAGTTGATTTTTTTTTGGACGTGAACCCTCTGGGCTTGTTTCCAAAGACCAAGGCTCCTGTATTGCATTTGCATACTACTGTCACACTGAACCTAATTTTAACACAACTAACTATACCGTGCTACTTTTTACAGCATTTGGATGGTACTCAGCATGGAAAGAATTGGTTGCACGGAGCTGTTCCACTGCCGTCACTCTGCAGTGTAGCAGAAAGTGTCATGTGGAGCCGTTGCTCAAGTTTTGTAAGCTTTTACCATTGGGCGTATCTTGGACAAGCTGCTCGTGTCTGAGACGCTGTTTTTAAAAACTACTAAAAGCTCCCTACGCGTGTCTGTGGGTTTTTGTAATGTGTCATGTGCACGTGCATCGGTGGATATTCCAGGGATAAAATGCAAATATACCAACACCCCTCATAACCAAAGCCTCAGACCCCATTCACAAGCAAACTTCATTTCCAACAAAGCAGGCCAACAGCAGGTGAGCCCATGTATAATGCAAAGACCACTGTTTTCTATTTTTCTATGCCATACCAGACTAAAGACACCTACCCAGAGTAGCCAGTAGTCCTGTCTAGCTTAGCTTACCCATAGGTTCAATTTTATTTCATCTGTGGGTTTTTTGATTTGGTTTGGGATTTTTTTCTTGGGGTGTTTCTGGGGGCTTTGTTTTGCTTTAAATCCTGGCTGATTTTAATCATAATTTCCCACCAGGGAAACCTCCCTTGTTTTGCTTTTTTGAACTGCCACAGTTTCTTCATGGATGGTTGCTGCTGGAAGGGGAACTGTGGAAGTGGCCTGCTGAGCATCTCAGCAAAGGGTCGGCATGGTGGAGAGAAGTGGAAAGTTTGCTAGGTCCATCACCTGCATACCACAACCTCCCCTGGCCAAAAAGGAGAGTGAAATGGGGGCGGTGAGAAACGGGCATCTCCTGCACTGCTCAGCGGTGCACAAGGATCAGGACCCAGGCTTGTGCGCCAGCTGCATGCTAACACGGGGCAGAGTTCAGGGGGCAACAGGTGCTAGGGTTTGCATGAGAACATGGGGCAGCCGGCAAAGAGAAGGGAAGGCCTAATCTGTCTCTACTGCACATAGCAATATCAGTCTCCTCTGATAGTCATGTGGCACCACAATGCAGATGGAGATCTCTCAGCTGAAAAGTGCGATGCATTAAAAATGCAGCCAGATACACATACGCATGAACAAGGTTGGCCCATTATGTGACAAGTGGAACTGGCCCTTTATGCAGAAGGCGAGCCCCTATGTGGTGTTGAAATATTGCCCAAAGTGAGGGAAGCTGGAGGCCATCCCACTTCCCAATTTGTTCTGTTGCATCTAAATATGGCAGCAATTGGCTCGTATGTGCCATGCAGCTGGCCTCCCCCAAATGAGTATGAGCCGGTTGCATCTCACTCACTTTCACCAGGGATGGGCCCAGTCCAGTGTCTCCCTGCATTTTAGTTCACAATATCTGTGCACTGGGGGGTGAATCGGAGCATGCTTTGGATTTATAGGTCTTATGCCCCTGGCTGTCCTCACATAAGTACCTTGCCATTGTCAGTCAGGACTTGTAGAGGTGATACCTTTTATTAGACCAACTCGATTTGCCTGGATACCTTGCCATTATCATGGAGGTTGGATATGCATCTAGCTGGGGTCATCTAGGCCCAGCCCTCTTCCCTGCCTATGCAGGGGGTCGGACTCGATGATCTATTGAGGTCCCTTCCGGCCCTATCATCTATGAATCTATTAATCATGCATTTACTGTACAGCATCTCCTGATGTCAGGAATTGCTCTTATTTCTGGTGTGCAGATGATGAACAGCGAAACAGCTGAGACTCCTGAGATTCGGGTATGACAATGCTGAGTGTTTCTGGCTCTAGGAAGAGAAGTCACAAACCCAAACTGGTGCCTGAGCCCCCTGCGCTCCAAGTGGGGAAAGGTTGGTACCTAAGATTGGGTGAAACCACGCCGAAGACCGGGTGCCAGGACCACCTGGCATAGCTGGTGGGACATGCTGCAGTGAGGTGTGCCTGATAGCTCACGCTTTGGATGCACTTAAGGGTCTCCCTGCAGTCCTGAATTGGCACCTGCAGGTGATGATCAGACCTAATACACCTACACTCTCGGTGCTCAGAAGATGGACAGCCCCGTCCTACATGAACCTGTGCTTCACAGGCCAACGCCTCCACCTCGTCTTGGGGAACCAAGTTATCCCTTCGTGCACAGTCGTGCTCTGCCTCCTGCTAGCAAACCTTGAATTCGAGGCTGCACAGTGGCCTGACTTCAGAAGGAGGTTTCCCCACTTAGCCTTGCCTCTAGCCTGGTGGCGAGGGCACTTTCCAGAGAGATGGGCTTGAATCCCTCAGGCTGAGAGCCTCTAACCCAGGTCTCACACTTGGGTGAGTGCTCAAACCACTGGGCTACTTTATTAGCAATAAAGCAGCACCAACACTTGCTCCTCCTTTGCCAGCTATGGCTTCAAAGGCTGAGCTGTTCTCCGTTCTTTCAAAAATAAGCAGGTCTCTTCTTTCGGGAAAGGGTCCTGGACTGGGGACTGCAAGGGGCTGGAGATGGCTCCCTGCAGCCCTGAGTGAGCAGCCTGCGTTCAAAAGCCATGCGGGACTGAGGACTTTCCCCTGTTCTCAGTACGTAGCTACATCTGCCTGGTGACTGAGGGGGAGGACCTTCTCCATATGCCCATGTCCTCAGGCCTTGCTCTTAGCATCATTGGGGAACAGGGTGGGAAGGGGCCGCACAAGGCCATCTAGTTCAGCCCCCTGCTCTGGGCAGGATCATCCCAGCCAAGTGTGTCTAATGAAAATTTCCAGGGATTTCTCAATATTTCTAGGCAGCCTGTCCCAAAGTCTGGCCACGCTCATTGTCTGAAAGTCCCTCCTGATCTCCAACCTCCATTTCCTCTGCTGCAGCTTGAGGTCACTGTACCTAGTCCTGTCCCCTACAGCCAGAGAAAAGCCTGTCTCCATCTTCCCATTCAGGTATTTAGGATTTGCTAGCAAATGTCCCCTGTCTTCTCTTCTCCAGACGAAAGAACCCTAGTTCTTTCAGCCCATCTTTATAAATCTTACTTTCCAGGCCCCTTGCTTCCCAGGCTCTCACTTCCCAGAGTACAGGCTTCTGCAAAATGCCTCCAAGCCAGCATCGGGAGGCCTAAATTCTTTACTCAGGCAGGCCCAAAGCTTGATCCTGCCACCCTCTCACTTGCTAAAGAGTAGCTAGGTTTCCATATAGCTGGTAGGATTCACCCCTGCCTTTAAGAGAGACCTGCAAGCTGCTCCAGCCTGATCCCACTGCCCTATATTATTAAAGATGCTACAGGCACTGGTTGCTTTGTCTACAGGGTGGGGCTGGAATCAAGAGCAGGAAGCTCACCCCTATATGATTTAAGGATAGACCTGAATTGCTTATATTGTAGCACCTCGGAGGCTCCATCAATGACCAGGACTCCACCGTGCTCAGACAGATCGAAACAGCTGGGACCTCCCTGTAGATATGCATTTAAGTTAATTCTGAATGGGGCCGTCTTTGAAGGATCTTTCAGCTGCTTGTAGCTTTGTCAAGGTCAGGGGAGAGGCAGGGAAGGGAATTTGAATGATCTGTTGGGTGCAAAATGCTTCGCCTGTTCCTGACATGAACTGGTTGTGTCACTTTCTATCTGTTAGCTTAGGTGGCTTCATAGCTTTACTACACACAGCTCCCGATAGCATCAGTAATGCTTTTATAGCCTGGAGAAATAAACTTCCAGCTGATCATCTTCCTTTTTGGTCTTTAAGCATTGATTTTTCCCCCCCTCCCCTACTAGAAATCTAAATGGGGCATGCCTTCCAGCTTTCCACAGGATACAGAGATGCCAGCTATCATCCTGCCAACTCTGCTGACTACAGCATATTTAAAGAAGCATTCCCAATCAAAAAAAAAAAAAAAATCCTGAACCTGATTTTCACTACCAGGTTAAGCTGATAGCACTGTGATCCTCAACCACAGCACACCTGGGGTGGTCTGAGATCCTTTCAAGAGTGCCGCGAGTTGCCACGCAATGGTAGCGCTGGTAGGTGAGCAAACATGAGTTGCAAGATAAAGCCAGAGGTTTCAAATAGGAACCCATAGCAGTGCTGTTGTTGGTCCAAGTTCTTTGCAATGGAAGAATTGGCTTATTATTTTTCTGCAGTCCAAAATAGTGCAAACAGACAGCTGGCATTTTCCAAGGGGTGCCTTTGGTCTGAGTCTAACAAGGGAGTCCTTTGAGTCTAAAAAGGCTGAGAACCACTGCCATAGCATTGACCCTTCTTCTGATTAACCAGAGCTGAAGACATTTTTCATGCTTCCCTTTCTGGGGCCGCCAGAGGGAGGCCTGGAGAAAACGTGTTGCATACACTGCTCAAGAGAGAGGTTCCTGTTACAAACCGGACCTTGCAATGCAGCTGGCACTGGTATGTGATACTGTGGACAGATGGGAGCCGAGGAAGGTGGACCTTTGCCAAGCCCTAACAGTGGGTCCAGGACAATATGCTGGAATAATAGTTGCAGGCAGAGTGCTTCGTGGACTTGCCGCTGGAACACAGCACAGGGCGATGGCTGCAGAGACGTCCCACGTTCCAGCGCTCGGGTGACACTCCTTGCACCGTACCTAGGCTCCTGGCAGCCCCGGGCAAACTTTTAGTATCACCCCCACCCTTTGCCAGAGATAATGATAATAATAATCGGACAATGTGGGGGGGAGAAAACATTTTCAGGCCGTCTTTCTGTTCAGTCCCCGGGCGGCCGCCCAGTTCACCCATGCCCGTGTCCAGCCCTGGCAGGGACGTGGACATTTAATGCGGTCCACACCTCTCTGCATTTTGTTATGGGGTGGTTTCAGTTTGAAATAGCGTAGAATGACGTTAAAGTAGAGATGGGAAAAGCCTCAGGAGGTTATCTGGTCCAACCTCCTCTCAAGGCTGGATCATTTCTGTCTCAATCTCCTCCATGTCTTTGTCTAACCTGCTTGTAAGAGCTTTCACTTATAGAGAAGCTCTTGGGAATCTGTTTTCCAGTGATTCCCCAGCTCATTGCTAGACCAGCCAGCCTACATCTCCCTTCTTGCAGCTGAAGACCATTGCTTCTCATTCTGTCCCTTGTGCTCCTGCTCCCAGTATGAATCAATTAGGCTGTTTGCCTCAGAAAGCTGCCATTGATGTGTGCGCTCTCCATTGACCTGTGTCGGGGCTGCCACCAGTGCAATGGCAGGGCAGCCCTCTTGCACAACATTTGCCATAATAAATGCAATATGAATGCCTAGAGATAGATAAATGGGTGTAG